TCTAGGAGTTGTTTTTTTTGTTTTTTTTTAAGTGGGAAATATTTTTTAATGTTTTGTTAGGGAAGACTGCTCTCCTGAAACGTAGGGTTGGGGAAAAAAAATCTGCTGGCTTGGTTGCCTGCAATCACGCTTTGAGGAACGTATGTTTTCTGGCTGCTTAGTGCAGAACGTTGCCTGGTGTGGCTCCTCTCTGATAGACCTTCTAGGTTTCCAGGTTTGCAGGCAACATCGTTTTTTGACATTGTTCCAGTTCTTATCTCAGTGGAAATTCTTAGAAGTCTCTCTCAGGGCAGTTAATCGCTTGGATCCCTGTTTCAGAGTACTTCAACCCCTTCCTGCCCCGGCCTTGACATCTTTTGCCTCTTGTTTTAGGCGAAAGTCCTCTGTGACTCTAGTACTGGCATTTTGGATCTGTTATGTTTAACCTGCTTGCCATGCACATCCCCATAGTGGAGACAATGTCACACCGCTTTGCATCTTTGTGACGCTGTTAAGCCAGGATCATTCGGTGTTGCTTAACAAAACTCAGTAACAAAACTCGTTGACTCAGGTGTGTAAGTGATGTCACCCAACAAGTATAGTTCCCTCTAGGGCTGTAGGCCATGCTAACGGTGTGGTGGTGCTTTTTCTAAGTTAAAACCATTTTGCTGCAGTATATAAGCACTCTGTATAACATTAAGCTCAAGAATCTTGGTCCATGATTCTGAATTGCACCTTTCACACTTAGTTGGTGTGCCTAAAGACTAGAAGAACGCTCAGTTGAGACTGAGCTGGCGTGTGAACCGTAAACCAGCAGTGCATCGTATGTTTTGGAGTCACTGCCAAGCACTGAGAGAGCTTTATGAAGCTGAGATATCCTTTCACAGAGAAGTCAAGTGTTTTGCATACATGCATACACATGCACACATGCAAATTTTCTGTGATGCTTGCATTTGGAAGCAAATCAATATGATTACATTTGTCTTCATGTTACAGTGCATTTTGGGATACGAACCACCTATGTAGTATCATGCCTTTCTAAAGTATAAGAGGAATAATTCCCACTGCACTTTGAAGACTATTTTCCTTCCTTCCCCCCTCTCTGGCTTCCCTATTGGTAAAAATAAGATTAAAATGCTTTTGTAAGGTGTGATACTCTGCATCAGTGATCATACCTTAAAGCATCTTACTGTCAGGTGAAATTTATCTTCTAAATGTTACCAGAATGAGAACAGTGCTGAATAGGAGTCATCTTTTGGGTCCAGGAAACAGCCTTGTCTAAACAAGGTTGGAAGTCAGGATTTTTTTTTTTCCTCTTTTTGCTTGTATACAGGCCTGGGATGTGTTTATTCAGAGCAGTGTAATCCAGGAAAGTAAGTCTGGAAACATGAGCTACATGCATATCTGTTCCTTTCCTGCAAATAATACTTTTTTTTTTTTAAGGGTAACAGGGTGGGGAGACGAGCTGGTGGGGGAGGGTGTGAGTTAAGCTGGTTGGTAAAAGCCATGCTGCGGGCATGGGATCTGTTTCAGATGACCTTCATCATGAGCAGACAGTATGTGGCTGGTGTTGGCTTTGTATTCTGACTTGTCCTAATAGCCAGTAATCTGATTACATTTAGGTTGACATTGTGGACATCTACGAGTCTATCCGTGAAAGGCAGTGTCATGACAGTGAAAGGTCTACCTGCAGCACCTTGGAGCAGAATGACATTGAAGCTGTTGAAGCACTTGTTTATATGAGCTCCTGGGGTCAAAGATCACAGAAAGGTGACATATTAAAGATACGGCCACTTACGCCCTTCTCGGATTCTGGTGATTTCACAATGCACACTGAGGCTACGTCTGAACTACCAAAGGACTATTTATCTACACTGGTAAGAAAAACATGAATGCAAAATAAGTATGCCCTGACATCTAGGCGTTGTGTTTCTGCAGTGTTTTAACTTGGCTGGAAAAGATAGCTTGCTCATGTGTCCCTGTGTGGACTGGCTACAGTAAGCCAGTGTTATGTGTGTACATGAAATAGTGAGGTGGGCACATTGAGTTTGGGTTTTCTGCTGTCTCTGGAATGGCAAATGTAGGGGTTTGATCCCTTGTTAAATCTAGATGTGAAAGCCCTTGCTGACAGGTTATTTAATTTGCCAGGCGCACTGAGGATGCTGTCGAGATGGCTCTTGTAGGTTTCTTGGAGAGCTTTGAGTAAGAATGGCAGAGTGAGTCTCAGTGATTTGGCACTGACTTATTTGCAAGCACTGTATGAAGAAGGCTCTTGATGACATTTGGCTTCGCTCTGGTCATTATAAGAGAAAGTACAGGTTACCATTGTGAAATAGGCAATTTAATTAGTTTCTGTGCTATGTATTTGTGTGTGTGATCTGTTAATTTCTCCAGAGCATTGATCTGTTCCAGCTGACTAATGTTGGTTGAATCACAACTTTTTTTTTTTTTGGTTGCCATTTATGTTGTAACAAATGTAGGTATTAAAAAGGGCTTGGTGTCATTCAGGTTTCAGATGATTAAGTCTCATTTCAACCAGTAGACTTCTAGCATGCAGTTATGCCAGGAAAAAGGGTAATAATAGAGGAAAGAGGCTGAGATAGTATGGCACCTGGTTGGAGGACTTCTCTCATACTCTTGCTGCTGAGTGTTGAGCAGTGCAGGAGACAGGCATGGGTTTTCAGTGGTAAAGAAAGAGAGGTGGTGGCAGCAGAAGATCATAGAGAGAAACGGATGAATAAGAAGGGAGAGGGCAATTCCGTTTGTCTTTATCTCAGAAGTATCTGATGGGGTGATCATTGATAAAAAGATCTAGGGCTTGCTGGAAGCTTGAAACTGAAATGGTACAGTATTGCTATCTGTTGCCAGTCTGTTTTCTGTGAACAGCAGAGAGCTCATAGCCTCTTACAGCTGCACCCATTGCTATGGAGAAAGGAATGAGAGAGTTTTTTGTAGCACAGTGAGCAGACATGCAATGTTTTCTGTGGGTTTACATCTGCCTCATTGCCTTCCTTTTATTAATATGATTTTGAGCGTATTCAGAATGGCCATCGGTTGAGGCAATGTATGCTTTAATCAGTTTGTCCCAAGAAGCAGGTTTTGAGATTCTGGACAGGGGGTGTAATTCTGTTTTTCCTGGTAAAGACAGTGAAAAATTGTGCTGTGAAATTACACTGCTGTAAAATGGTGTTTTCTTTTTCGCAGTGCATGACCCCTCCGCACAGCCCAGACTTTGTTGAGATATCAGCTGCTGTGCTCTCCTCACAAGTCACTTACTCCAAACCCAGGACTGTCATGGCAAGTACAGCTGCCTGCTCAGTCACATCCACAACTGGTGCCTCTCCCATAACCAAGCCTTCTGTTATCAACATGGAGCAACAGTGCAGCCAGAAGCCAGTGATATCCGAATCCTCTTCCCCTCAGCCTTGCAGGGCCATGGCAACAAGTGTGATACGTCACACAGGTGATAGTTCTGCTTACCATCACATTCCGGCTGTCCAAGAGAAAACAGAGGTAACTTCAGGCTACAGCACTTCCAGAAACTGGTGTGGAGTGGATGACCGAAGACATTCCAGACTGTCACAGGACACATGTGCCGCAGATGATTTAATTAACAAAACCTCTCCAATATATCAACCCTATGCACGTGACTCCAGTGATATCGTGACCAATAAAGGACAACTACCAGTCCGGCCCATTTCACCGCAGATGGACTTACCAAAGAATTGTGAGAGTGACTTGCAAAAAAGAGCTACTTCAGTGACACCTGCCCCCGTTTCAAGCCCCCAGGTTCTCTGTCAAATGATCCCTTTAAATGGACAAAGCAGTATGATCAATGCCTATGTCAAGCCTTCAACTCCAACAGTCTCAACTCGAATGAAACCCATTTTACCACAGACAGCCCCACTCCCTCAGCCTGTACTCATGGGCCCTTCCGTGCCTCAGGGGACCGTCATGTTGGTTCTTCCACAGACTGCTGTCACGCAGAGACCGCAGTGCCCGCAAACAGTAATGACTGTTGGGAACACCAAGTTACTGCCCCTTGCTCCTGCTCCTGCCTTCATCACTTCCGGTCAAAGCTGCGCCCCCCAGACGGACTTTTCTAGACGGAGAAATTATGTTTGCAACTTCCCTGGGTGCAATAAAACTTATTTCAAAAGTTCCCACCTCAAAGCCCACCTTCGCACCCACACTGGTGCGTATGACATGCCTTGTTGCTCTGGCACGGGCTTGCTTTGGAGTGCTGAATGCACAGTTTTTGGGGGGAGGGGGTGGGAAAGGGAAGAGGCAGGTGATCAGGAAACTTCTGCTCATCTCGGAGAAGGGAGGAATGTTCATTCTCTGTGGGCAAGCAAAACAAGACAGACTTTGTTCTGAGACCTCAGCTGACCCCATAGTGTTTGTTGCATTTCACGTGCTTTAGTTGGAGTGAAGCTTTGCCAACTGTGTGTGTGTTTAGATTTGAGTGGAATCCTGCCATCTGGACTAGGTCAAAATGAATTGTGCAAGTCCCTTTTTTGGAGGCATGGAGAGGTCTGGTGTAAGCAAACCATAATACAGGTAGTTGGTCTTAATTGTTACATGGATAAAAGAATAGAGAGAAAGTCAGAAACTGCACATTTTTCCGGAGTTTTGTCTAGGCTAGATGGGAATGTATTAAGATTTTGGGCTAATGTGTTAGGAAGTAGAATGGCTGCGGGAACACATAGCACTTTATTCACTTACAGAAAGGAAATTTTAAAGGTAAATGAAAATTAATGTGAGCTCATTTGCTCAGAAATATCTGGTTAGTGTGGAGACAGCATAAATGTGTTTTTCTTACCTTTTTTCTAGCTTCAAGATCCTGTTAAATTAAACTAACTTTGAGTTCTCAGAAAGGACTATTTTTGACGTTGAGGGACTGGTTAGTGTGGAGACAGCATAAATGTGGTTTTCTTACCTTTTTTCTAGCTTCAAGATCCTGTTAAACTAACTTTGAGTTCTCGGAAAGGACTATTTTTGATGTTGAGGGACAAGTGTAGTGGGAGATTGGCACAGAATATCTCGTTCATAAGTTTGTCTAATTTTGTTTTTCCTTGGCCTTTTTCCCCCCACCCTTCCTTGCCCCACAGACACCGTGGTTTATTGGCTGTCAGCTTCCATGGCTTTTTTTTCTAGGATTTACATTAGTTTGCCAGCTTGTCTTTACAGTTGTTTTAGGGAAAAAGCTTAAACCCTGTATGAAGCTGATAATCCTTGTAAACCAGAGCTCAGAGGTAGATGATGCTTCTACTTCTGGCTTGGGGCAAAGTGCTGCAGGCTGCTGAATCTGCCCGGCACTACAGGATAAACACAGACTAGCAACAAGTTCTGGCTTGGAGCACGTGCTGCTGCTGATCCATAGGGAAGCTGTGTGTGTCCCTGTATCTTGATTAAGACTAGGACAGCTGTGGGAGGTGAAGCACACTGACCCGTTGCTAGGCAGTCCATGTTACAGAATTGGGGGGCAGAGTAGTTTAGCTTTAGCTTTCCACTTTTGTCCTGTCCACTGAGTAGCTAGGTAGTATATCATGCATACCAGACATAGAATTTTACTCTCACTGTCTGAAATAAGAACACCACTTCTGTAGTACTTCCTTTCTGATGGACACTTTTGTTCTTCTCCAGAGTGTCACCATAAATTTAGGTCATGTGGTAGATGTTTATCTTGAGCTTTATGGGGTTTCCAGTCATTTAGAATAGGTCTGATGTTAAGCTTCTGCTCATCCTGAGTGACTGCTTAAGTGGACAGCCTTCCTGACTGCTGTCATTCTTGGGCATACAGAACTCCTGTAGCTCACTATTGGATCTCCAGCTGTGTGGGGGTGGCAGGACAGGCCGTTCCTTGGGAGGACCTGCTGGGGCAGTGTGTTTGTGTGTAGGACTGGATCACTGGAGCAGCAGGACTCTGAGGCTGGATTCCAGGCTTCCTGTTTGCCCGCAGTATTTGCTGATGACATGCAGCAGCTGTAGAGCTGTGATCACACAGGGATGGGGGCAAGGGGCTGCTTCTACTTCAGTCAGTGGATAAGGTAGCTTTATGAAGAATCTATGAAGACTGGGGTTTTGGACAATTGAAAAATAGACTTGATTAAAGAACATTTAAAGGGATATAAGAGAGTACGTAGAAATGGTACCTATGATTTTTCACTAGAATACAACTTGAGCTTAAGCTAATGTTGACTGCGCACATGAGCGGTTCTGTGTAATTTATCAGTTTTTGCAAGGCAGGATTTAAGTTAGTTCTTTGATAAAACTGCAACGCAGCTTCTCAAAAGTAAGTTATGCTTCTTTTATGTCCTGCAGGAGAAAAGCCTTTCAGCTGCAACTGGGAAGGCTGTGACAAGAAGTTTGCCCGCTCAGATGAACTGTCACGCCACCGGAGAACTCACACAGGAGAGAAGTTGTTTGCTTGTCCTGTGTGTGAGCGTCGCTTCATGCGCAGTGATCACTTGACAAAGCACACCCGCCGCCATATGACTACAAAGAGGATCCCCAGATGGCAGAGGGAGGTTGGCAAACTCAACAGAATTGCCACAGCAGAGAAACCTAAAAGCAGCAGTGCTCTGAGTAAGCTCATCCCAGTGCCATCATCTGTCTGTCAGGGCTAATGTGAGGAAACACCTCTACAAACTTTCTGAAGATCAGGAAGAGCTCTGATGGCTACAACAGAACTGATAATGGCTTTTTTCCCATCTTTGTGCATACTTTAGTTTCCTTGAGTTTAGGTCCTCTGTTAATAATGTGATGTGAGAAATCTATCATATCTATCCTCGTCCCTTCCCTGTTTGTTTTTTTCAATACTTGGGCAAATGCAATCACCAGCACATCAGGAAAGCAGAACTCTTCGGAAATGATTTTGGCAGTAGATTAAAAAAGTCACTTGTAATGCTTGCTGATAATATTTTGATGGACAGTAAAACAGGGTGATTTTTAATTTTTATACTAGTATTTTCTATACCAAATATATTTTGTATTTATTCATTTTGGTCTTGATATGCAGGCAGATTACTTAACCTGCATTAGTAGCAGTGTGCAGGATGAGACCCAGAGTTTTGGAAACTCTTCATCAGTAAACCTAAAAAATTGCATTCAGAGCATTTTGTGAACACATAATTTGGGATTTTCACACTTGCAGATCCTGATCCTGCAATGGGCTGGTGCTGTTACATCCTCCTTATGCAGGTGATGTTGGAGGTATCAGATCTAAGTGTGTCACCATTTTTAAAACAAACCAAATAAGAATGACTTTCAGAAAAGAAGTGTTGAGATCCTCAACATTTTATAGATTCATACCCTTTGCAAATGGAAACGGTTGCGACTTCTGGTAGAAGTTTGACATACATTGAGTCCACACTCCACCACAGCAAAATTTGGAGGAGCCAGACTGCTCTGATGGAGGTAGAAGCACAAACACCATTTAGGAACTTTGACACTAAGAATTATACTTTACTTTCAGTCCTACTAAACCAGCAGCTCAAAATCTACTGAAAAATACAGAAATGGCAAGATAACCCATGAATAATTAGCTGGGTCTCTGTTTATATTTTTTTGAGTACAGGAGAAATAGAAAATTTAAGGTCTTTTTATGTATCATGGATGCTTGTGCACCTTATAGGAAATTGTTCAAGGCTTTCATTTACCTGTATCAAAGCACCAGAGGAAGTACTAATCATGTCTTAACTTAAGAAATAGCCACCATGTCAACTTGATGATGTTCTTCATGTGGCCTTATACTTCTCCACAGTACTTTGTATAAAATCACCCTTTTCTATTAAACGAGATACTCTCCCTGTTGAATGGATTTTCTTTTACACCAAGTGTAAATATGGCTAAGAAGTGGAATCACTGTCTGCAGGAGTGCTGTGTTGTAATGGCATGGTATGAGTAATAAAAACAAAATGTCTGTAGCACAATCAGACTTCTCGGTTTCCGTGGTGCGGAAGGATGTCCATGCGTTTTGTAGCAGAGCTGACAGTAGAGCTGTTGTGCAGTGAGGCACCAGGTGGTGTTTTCCTGGGAAACAGCTCACCTGCTGAATGAAATATTTCTGTAGTGTTTATTCCTTCTGGACTCTCCTCCCTTCAGCTGTTCCCACTGAAGCTTAGTTGAGCACCGAGTAGGACTTTTTTCCTGGATGTGTAAAATGTGGGTAGTTAGGGAATGCGCTATTTCTTGCACTGCTGTGTTGTTCTAAAATCCTGGTCTTGCTTCTTGGTGTGGCCAAAGCACGGTTCTCATCTATATAAAGTGCAGACTGGCTGATCTTGGCTAACACTCCCCTGAAATCGGCAGAGACCTGTGTCAGTTGTATGTCATTTTTTACACTGAAGTCTATATTTAATGGTAATAAGTTTGCAAACTGCACTGTATTGGAGCATTGTGCTAAGTAAGTTTTTGTGTCTGACCTTTAAAGCGGCCACACCCTGTTCACTGGACATGCTGTAATCCCCCTGACCGCAGCGTACCTGCTGGTGAGTGTGTGTGTACGCAAACCTTGCCTGGTACTCCCCAAAGAGCTCAGTTGAACCCCCTCTTCCTGATGAAGTGAATGCTTGTAGTGTTGCTGGCCTCTGTCGATAACCAGTTTTCTAAATCTGTATTGTGAAGAAAAAGACATTGCTGCTCTCTTTATTTTTTTCCCCCTTTTTTCTCAGAAGTCCCTTAGAACAAGAAGTTTGACTTTTGGATGCCATTTGAGCGTGCTTTTAAACCACAGGAAGTGTCCTGTGTGAGTCCAGTAGCCAGTTTAGCACTTCATCTTTTTTACAGGCTAACCATTTATGGTGTTCACCTGAGCAAAACAGTTTGGAAACTCGTATCATAATTTAGAAAATTGTCAAGTTAGTTTGTTGCATCATGGAGAGGGGGAAATGATGGATTGAAGAATATGGAATTTTAAAAAGGGTGTCGTGTCTGTGTGTCACGATGTGGAAAAGCGGCAGCTCCCTCTTAGGTTTAGCTGACCTGTGGTTCCTCACAGCCTGCTCCTGGGAGGAGTGCGCTGCCTCTTACCACCCGTGTCTGGGACGTGCAGCTCTTTCTCCTGGGGATGTGCATGAATAGCTGAGCCGCAGTGTGCCTGCGTCTGGTCTGTTGGCTCGTTCTGTTCCTTCCTGCTGTGTAAGGGTTATTTATGGATTAAGCATGACTGGGATAACTGCTCTCTTTGCACTTTACTGCCTGAATTATATTGTTCGGTCTTTTTATTTTGAGCCTATATTTTAAAGAAATGGAATCACATTTTTGTACCTCTTTTCGTAAATTAACTTTTATTAAATAAAAAATATATACTGTGACTGGTTTTAAATAATTAAAAAATTGTGAGTTTTCAGATGTCCATTCCAGAACTATGTAAATCTATCTGGACTAGGTTATGTATCTACGCCAGTGGAAGAGTTTGGGGCTTGCCAGTTTACTTACGTGTAAAGGCAGGACTTTTTGGGTTGTGTTGTAAGTTGACCAGTGCTTGTCCATTTATAATTTTACACAACACTTCTTCTGTATTTGCTAGAATGTCTACACCACTGCCAGGATTTGGGGTTTTTGCATGCTGTCTGAAAACAAGAGTCTCTGGGTTTGTAACTGTTCTCACATGGCCTCCAGGAGGTATCAACAAAAGGTGATGGCCTGAGTGCTGCTCTGTTGGTGTTGCAAGCTCTGCATGGCACGAACTCTGGAAATAAAGAAGAGATGAGAATTTGACTCATAAGATGGCTGCGTTAGCCCTGGTTCTTCCCATTCCTGTGTACTTGTGCTCTGGTGGGGAAGTGGCTCTCGCAGGCTGCGTGTCACCTCCATGTCTCAGCTGGCAAAGGAGTGTCCAGCGATGGTGGCAGCAGCAGCAACTAAAAATTGTTAAGCATATCTACTGTTTCTTTCTCTCTGACTAGTTCCCACATTGCAGCAATGTTTATTTCTAGCGGGGTCATGTTTTAATGGAAGAGAAGGGGGGAGAGGGTGCAATGACACCAGCTTCTGTCACAGCCTTTCACTGCAAGGTGACTCAGTCTTTGCAGCTGGAGCCCTCGGAGAGTGAAGTGGGAATAGTGACTCAAGGCTTTGTCCACAGGAGAGCACATTGTTCTTGCAAGTGTGTAGAAGATGGAAAGAGAAGATCCATGGATGGTCCTATTTCCCCCTAAGGAGAGCAACTGGAAGGGAAAGCTCTACGGTGGGATCGATGCTCTGGCAGAGTAGCACAAATTCTTCAGCTCCTGGGCTCTGCAAGGCTCCACAACGCTTTTGAGTCCCAGGGGAAGATGTCCTACCTGTCTGTTCCTACTACTATTTTTTAAGGAAGATTTTTCTGAGCATCAAGTCATATCCTAAACAATACTTATAATTTTTTTGCTGATTTTTATTTTGTCTCCCTCAGTTTGCTTGTGTGAAACACAACAATGGATTTCACAGTTCTGTGCTCATCTTTCTGTTTTTTCTTAGAACCAAGCTGTGTTCTGAGCTGTTAACGTGCAGCCGGGAGGGTGCAGTCAGCACACATCCTGATGGGGCCAGAGTCTGGAACAGCTTCATCCTGTGAGAGAAAGCAGCTCACATGTGCGGAAGCCTTCCCAGCTACTGCTGTGCTAACGCAGGCATCATGCGGCCAAAGGTCTTTCTATTTTGCAGCCATTCTAAATCCATGGAAACTATTAACTTTATAAAGAAACATATATGTGCGCTCAAACATGTCCATTGGCTTAATGCTACATTTTGCAGTTAGACCGGCATTGCTTTCCTACATGTGGCTGTACAGCCAAACCTTCAGCTTAGCGGCAGCTTGCCTCATCTTGCTCCCAGACCGATGAGCACTGATCCACTTGCTGTTAGGATATGGGAAGTACAAATCTGTTCTGAAGCTGCCGTGCTGGGTGGGCAGAGGTAGAGGTGTGCTGCCGGGTGGTTGCACTCTCAGTATGCTCCTCTGGCTTAGGCTAACGGCTCTGGCTAACTGCAGTTCCAGCTGTGAAGGTGTGCTCTCCATCCTGTGAATGATGAAGGTGGTGCTTCATCTGTCATCTCTTGTGAGCTGAATCCTGCCTCGGGGTTGCAACTGGTTTGAGTTCCTCTGCTGGGATAAATCTAACTGGTTTTGAAGTTTAATCTGTGAGCCCATCTGCCTGTTTACCTTCCATTCACGTCTGGCAAGGCAGCCTGAGGCCGGCAGGCTATGGTCATGAGAAGGCAAATTTCTTCCATGTGTGCAGAGAGTAAGTCATGACTCAAAACCTGGCAATCTACAGGCTAAGAAAACGACCAGACAGTTCAGGACGATGCTGCAAAGCCTCAGCCGCATCTGCTCGCAGTCCATTCAATCCGTGGACTTACCTTCCCTGCAGCAAGTAAGTTAGCACTGAGGCATTTTCTTCCTAGATTGGTTTCATCCTCTGTCAGATGCAGCCTTCCTCAATCTCTGCTCCAATCCTTGAGTGCAGGAGGAGGAAATGGGATGACATTGACATCCTGATGTGTGCAGAAGGCCACGGGCACATCTTGCACATGCAGAAAACTCAAGGAAGCCGGAGCACACCCTTTCCTGAAAGTGTTTCTCTTAGGTGGGAAGAATACCTTAGATTTCATTTTCTTCCTTGTAGTGTCTCTTGAGTTCTGA